TGTGTGTGTGTGTGTGTGTGTGTGTGTGTGTTAGTGTGTGTGTGTGTGTGTGTGTGTGTGTGTGTACCGGCTTTTAATAGTAATGCCAATCAAGACGGAGGGTTGATGTGTTTTTATTTTGGCATGTGTCTTTATATGTGATGATGTGGCGTATTGTGTATATGCATGTGTTGACAGATGAGTGATGTCCCTGGCATCATGGGTGTCCGTATTATTACTGTGTTTTCACTAACGCAGCTAAACTGCACCTGAGAGAAGCAAACCCTAGGAGCATTGTGACTTATACACTTTTACCTCTTATTTGAAAGAAGATACTGGTGAAAGCAGATTATTTATGGTGTTTATATTTACATATGTTTATGCGGAGTATGTGTTTTTGTGGAGAGTTGTTGAAAAAATATACACCTGAGCGTCTTCTACTGCACAAAACACCTCTGTCTCATCTTGACCCAGACACGGTGTGTTTCTTCGACTCTACCGCCTGCATAATTTCATGCATACACATACTCTGTTATATAATGACTGTTTTATGTGTTGTGTGTTGTGTGTCTGTGTCCTGAAACATGTAGGCCAGGATGAGCTTAGGATGTCGCCACAGTTCACACTGCAGCTCTGTGTGTGACTCACTCTGGCCCTCTTCTGGTTGACTGAACACAGCCCCCCTCCTCTCTGGGCTTGACTCATCGTGACTGGCTACAAATATGCATCCTGCATATTTGTTTTTTTTCCTTGCATTAAGTTATGCAAGGAAAAAAAACTCTTTTTAGGACTGAGAATGGTGCAATTTATGAATTATTTTACAACACAATTTATGCCCGTGGTTGAGTTTACCAGCACGACATGCAGTATGTCATCTGACTTGTCATTATTCTTTATGACAAGAAAAGTGGGTTGACAACTCATTTTTTTCTAGCATCAGCACATTTTCTGTTATGCTACACATCATATAAATTAAGGTGCACGTCAGAGGCATTGGTCCAGAAATCTCAATGCTTGACAATGAACAAGCTTTCAAATCCAGTAAGTGCTGCTGCCGATGAATATCTCTATATAACAGCTTTACATTTTTTCAGGAATAACCCATTGAAGACAATAGAGAAGTATAGTGTAGTTCCTTCCTCTGCTTCAGTCTTCTAATGCCAAGCTGTTCCCTTCAGTGTGGTGCAGACGTGTGTGGAATTTTCTTCCTGCTCGAATAATCTTCTTTCTCTCTCTGTCCTGTCATCTTCTGGCTTTTTTTTCCTCTTTCTTTTTTGAAGTGAAGCTTAGAGCAGAAAACAGAACAGACGCTGCCTGCTGCCGCTGACGGCATTTAGGAATCACGTTCATCACATACCCTGGAATACTGAATTGTATAATGGAGAAGGGATGGGGAGGAGATGACTGTTTAGGAATAGAGTGGAAAGAGACACAGAAAACATAGAAGAAAACAAGCTGCATCTATTGTTTGACTGAATATAGATTTATTTGATAGGCAGCTTTGTGATTTGTTTTCTTCTTGGAAATTGAGAAGTGAAAATATGCTGCAAAACACGGTCCATTATTTAAGGATAACACGTTTCACTAGGGGGAATCATTTGACTAATTACATTGGCAGTTACAAAGCTAGAGGGATGGATGGTCGATGTCCATCTGTTTCTGTTTTCCTCCCTGCCCTCCATCATACCACTTGCTTTTAATGCCAATATACTGGCGCAATTCCATTCTCACATTTTCCATTTGAGAAATTTGAAATCCCACAATGGAGACGAGAGATCGAGAAGTGGGGTTAAAAAGAATGGATAGATGGGAGGCAGATGAGGGAGGTGGGGCTTGCAGCGCAGGATGGATGGCGTTTCCATCTGTGAACTCCACCTTCAGCACGATCTCAGGAAACCCCCTTCCACTGGTTGCACACGGCACGCAGCGCTACAAGGCTGCAGCATGACACACACACGCGCAGCCTATGATGTAGGAGGATGATGACAGGAGAGAGGAGGAGGAGGCGAGGGGGAGGGGAAAGGGGGAGACAGCCAGTGAGCGTGCCGAGCGAGAGAGTGAGGAGAGGAGAAAGGGCATAGGGAGCGTGAGCGAGTGAAAGAGTGAGATAAGCAGAGAGAGCTGCATCTCCTGAGCGCATTCAGCTTGCAGCAGTTCAAGAGGCAGGCGGGCAGAGTAGAGGGGGAAGAGCACCAGTATCTCATAGGAGGGTACTACACCACGCCTCTCTCTCTCTCGCTCAGAATCACACACGCTCTTCTATCACGTCACACACTCATTTGTGAGGAGGCGTAAGGCTCAGGAGGAGGAACACCACAACTCACGCTGTTTTGCTGCCTAAGCTTTGGAGAGCTGTCTCTTGAAGACTGGACCAGAGCTATATCCATCTCTTCATCCATCTTCTCCTTCCTTGCTTTACATCCTGCAACACAGAAGAAGCTCTTTGTCACCTGCCCCTCAATCATCTGGACTGATCTCTGTCCTCCATCCAACCTTTGATCCGTGTGTTTCTCTGCCTATCTCTGCTCTCCTCCATTCAGCCAAGAAATCCAGAGACGCACTCAGAGAGCAACTAACCGACCGAGCGAGAGACCAACCTTTCGACTGCAATCATGAACTTCCTCCGTCGCCGGCTCTCTGACAGCAGCTTCATGTCCAACCTGCCCAATGGCTACATGACCGACCTCCAGAGGCCTGACCCACCTGCTCCTCCTCCCCAGACCACCTCCTCTCCTACCCAGCAGGGCCCAGCACCTGCCCCAGCAGCTGTCCCTGCCCAGTCCCCGACCAAAGCTCCAGCACCGTCCCAGGTGCCCGCCAGCTCCCCCGCAGCTCAGGAGCGACGTCCATCCCAAGTGGCTCAGCAGCCTCAACAGGCCCAGTCCTCCTCCTCCAGTGGTTCCTCTGGCTTCTTCAGCTCCTTCAGCTCCATCACCAACGCTGTCAAACAGACGGCTGCATCTGCCGCCGGTTTTGTGGAGCAGTCGGCGCCCTCTCCCTCCCTCTCCAAGAAGTTCAAGATCCTGTTGGTCATTGACGAGCCCCAGCACGAGTGGTAAGACACTAGCAGCTTTGACGATTGGTTGAGGGTCCAATTGACTTATAGGTGGTTGATGTGAATTGTAGCATGTGCTGAGCATCGTCGCTGAATGAAATTTCAATATAAAGTGAAACAGGCACACTCTAAAATTTTGGGGTGTAAAATGATTAGTTTTTTTAACATTTAAAAAGCTAATATAAAAGGCTGCATTGGTGTAATGCTGACTGACACTAATTTAAAATAAGATAATTTATTTGTGCAGTCCTTGATGGGATTCACACACAAAAACTGTAGCCGAAGAAATGCATTGGATTTTTGCGTGAATCGTAAAATGAATCTTTTACATCCTTATGTCTCAGTCTGTTTGTTTTTGTTGGTGCTTTACGTCTTTATATTTATATATTTATATATATTGTTTCCGCTCACCGAAGCTGCTCCCAAAATAGCAACTGCTCCATTAATCTATTCAGACAGGACATCATCTCTCTGGGGTTCGGATTCACACATCCCACCACCCAGCTCTGTCTATTTTTGTGTGTTTATTTGAGGCTTTAGGACATCATGTGTGTGTTTGAGTGTGTCTATGTAAATGTGAGCAATGAATAAGTGTTTTCATCCCTTGACAGCACAAGTTGGTGAGCAGGATATTATTCCTTTGCTATCACCTCGTACATCATCACGATTCGTACAAGAGCATGTAGCTCTGAATAAAACATCTCTCTCCACACATGAAACGTGAGCCCCTGGCACTTAAATAATGTTGCTATTTCACTCGCTGCTCTCTGCCCACTGCAAATCACATTTTCATGCTGTAAACGTTCTCTGTGTGGACGCTGATGTGTGGCTGATGATGGATTTTACAGCCCCTCATCGCTGCCATTATCTAGGTGTAGTTTGATCTTGTCAGCCTTGTATTGATGCCTGCGTGATAAAGTAACGGCCATACTAGACAAATTTGACCTTTTCAATTTAACGATATGGAGTGTTGTCATATGGCAATTGTCGTTTAGAATCCCTCATACTGAGTGTTGTTACAGTTTTAAACAAAAACCTTTTTGTGGGGTTGAAAGCAAAGCAGAACAAGTGAGTGTGGAGACCTTGAGATGAGATTGTTGCTGTTTGCAAGAAGTCCGAGAGATGGAGGGGACTAAGATTCTACCGTTCAGTGACACCTGAATACACTTGATTTGTAGATGGAGTCAATGCAATATCGTAAAAAGCTCCAGGACAAACAAACAAAAGAGATGATTTCTTGTTATAGTTTCCTTGCTGTTTGTCAGACTTTAACAGGATTATGTAAAAACTATAGAACCAATTTTATCAAAACTTGGGTTTGAGCCAAGGAGGAAGCCATTCACGCAGATTCGGGGGTGTATATTTGTATTGCTTTAACATTGTCAGAGGGTGTTTTCGAAATTTTGTGAAAAAAGCAGGCATGTGTAAAGTGCTTATATCTCTGAACAGTTGAAATGTAGTGTGGGTCCAGATAGTATATTTACTCAGTTACTATACGGTAACAAATATTATTTTCAACTATGTCAGAGAATGGATATTTTGCCTCAGTTTAATGTAAACAGTTTTAGTGGAGGTATGTGCCTTTGTTTTTTAATTGGACACTGGTTGAATTATTATGTTTTCTGCAGAAGTGTCCCTTTAGTTACAAAAATAGAGTAGAAAAGTCATTTCCAATCTTCAGTGACTTGGTTTTTGGCAAAGAAATGTATGTAATCATGCTTTAGTGCCAAACAAAGAATACAATTACATCTTGCTTTTGGACTTTGCCATTGTAGGTGTCTGATACTGACATTTAAGTGTCTACACAATGTAAAATGCAAATGTAACCAAATGCTCTGTCACTTGGGACAAATTCCAGTTTCTCTGAGGGGCTTGTCCACAGTATGCCAGTGCCATAATACAATCTATAGCTGTAGTACTGGCATCTTGTAAATGGACTTAACGCCATCAACTGTCTAGTGAAGTGGATTTTATTTTCTGCGTAATCAGCACAGGATTTTCTCAATGAGGTTGCATTATGCATCTGAGTATACATGCATGAGTGTGGAGGCTCCACGACAATGCATGGACTGAATGTGACTGCTGTTATGGTAATCCTGCTGTAAGCATTTCGGTGGCTTATGATGTGATGGCGTCGGAATGGGAGCCATTACAGGCTATGTTCAGAAAGAGGTATTTGAATGCAACACTTACATTCTCCTTGCAATAACCATACACCAGAACTGCATGTATGTGGATATAATATGGTTTTACAGGCTGACCATTTGAATTGTAAACTGCTAAATACAAATGGAAATAGACTGAGAGGTTTGTGTTTATTGCTTTTCACCTGCTTGAACACATGAGCGACATAACCAGTAAAAACACATCACAGCTGCCAGCACAGGAACATAATGTAGCTTTTAAAATCAGTGTCTGTTGCTGCCTCACCTCAGACATTTGTAGCAAAGAAAAACCACATGATCAAACTGTGGGGATATGATTACACTACATCTGTGAGTCATGAATTCCAATGGATACTGAGTGAGTTTGCAGTGACTGCTGATATGTTTTACATGCCACATCCTGTAGTACAAATGAAACTTAGTTGTAGGACAATGGCATCTTATATGTTATGCAATGAATTTGACTCATTATTTTCAGAAGTCCTCACATTTTGTTGTAAACATTATTCATCCATGAGAGCTCAAGATAAATATTAATATTTATTCTTTAGACTGAGGATACTTGCAGACCATCCCTTTAAGCATCATGGGCCAGAGAGGCTTTCTGCTAAAAGTTATTGATTTTCCACTCCATCAGTCTTCAGTAAAAATAATATCTCAGAAAACACAAAGTCACACAGGAAATGAAATTATTAAATAACAACAAATATTAAAGCCAGATACCTGTTATAATGTTGTGAGTGATCAGTGTACAGACAGACAACACTATGAGAATGCAGTTTTAAATGCTTCAAAAGTTGGCACAGGTTTTGATAACAATCTTTTAGTCTATAGGAAGTGCATTCTAGAGTTTGGTTTAATCTTCTCCAGTCACATAAATTGACCTGGGAACAGTAAGAAATTACTGATTAGACGATCTAAGACCAGGGTCAGGCTCATAGGACATTAAGAGATCTATAAATTGTGGGGTCAGTAAAAGTCGTGCTAAAGAATAATGCAATTTTAAAATCAATTCTAGGTGGAAAACCCATTCTGTTGGCCTTTATGGAGAGAGTGTTTTATTAATATCTGGTATCTGTGCCACAAGGTCAGAGACAGACCTTAATTTAAAGACTAATATCAAAAGGAATTTGCAAGTAGACAGAGTGAATGAGTGAATTCAAGGGACTCTCCAACCAGTCCAATTTTTTCAGGTCCGAGGCGGTGGAGCCAGCCAGCTGTCCAAACATTTGAATACAAGCAGAGAAGGCTGAGTGCAGCGGCTTTCATTCGAGGCACAGGTAAAACAGAGGGGAGTATTTTGGTGGAGCAGACAAGGTAACAGAGCTTTGAAGTACAAAAGACTGAGACGGCTCGAGGAGTTGATTCATCTACAAACCTAATCCACCTAGTTGTGGGACTCACAGACAGGGAGCAAAGATTGTTTATAAAGATAGAAGACATGACTGAAAAAACAGAGTATCTCAGGACCAAAACAAAAAAATCCAAATACACATCAAAAGTTTGCCAAAGATGGTTTCTTTTCTTTTTTCAGTTATTATCACACTGATGTATGTTCAAGTGTTAATTTGTCCATGAGGTTTGGTTTTATTTCTAAATTGAATATAATAAAGACGAGATGAAATGTCATGATTGACAGCTGAGACAGACTCACGATTGTTTGACTGCCTGTATCAGCTGGACCTTGCTACTGTGGCTTCATCCCCCCCGATCACCAGCACAGACTCAAATGCGCAAGATTGCAGCGTTCATATATAAGTGTTGTTCATATCTGAGATATTCTGGCTTCATTTCTGGATAGTAGAAGACCAAATGAAGACATGCAAAACAACAGCAGGAAACATAGAGATAAAGCCATTTTCCTAAAACTAAAACTTGATTGCATGATGTAGAAGCTCTAACAATCCAAAACAACAACACAAAGAAAGCCTAGACCTTAATGCCCGGACTAGTGAATTATGATGAACAGATTGAAGCAGCACTAAAAGGGAAAGGCATGCAATTAGTGTTGGTCGTGTCCACCTGTCAATTACAATTAACTGAGATAAAACATCCTAGAAATATTAGTCTCAGGGTTTTCTGTTGAGATGTCCCGAGTGGATGATAGTAATGACAAGCAATAACACTTTCTCTTTCTCCGTCTGGGTTCTTTCATTCATTCGTACTTTCCTTTGACTTTTCCTGGAATTAAACTTCCTCCATTCTCCTAATTGAAAGATCCCTCTCTAAATCAATCTTAACTTTGTATCTTGAAATAGATTAAATTAGCATAAAGGCAGCATTTGGCATGAATAGCAATTTGCGGGACATGCAAATATAAATGGGCCATAGCTCCAAATAACATTGGCATTTCTCCTTTTCAGTGCTGTCTGGCAATTGCATAAGCAACTGCAGGTATCATCAGTCTCTCTCCCTCTGACGGCTGCACTCTCTAAGCTCTCAAATATCAACTCTGCTACCGTGATGGTTTACTCTGGCTGTGCCGCAAAGAGAGACCACAATGGGAGTCCAGCAATAAAGCCAAGATGAAAGAGTGAATGTATTTTGAGGCAATACAGAGCGTCTGCGTAGCCTCATGTAGTCTTTATGTAACAGAGCCCAGCCGGTTGAGAAGGGTGAAGGAAGAGATAGTGTCCTCCGGGGCCTTTCAAGGTGAAGATTAGCTAAGAGGGAGAGAAGAGTGCATGGGAACATCTGGGAATCTCCCTATTATTACTTCCTCTTGATGTCGGTGTGATCCTCTTTCCTGTTCGTCTCACCTTTTCCCTCTTTCTCTGCCTTTTATCATGACAGTCGCTCCCTGTGTGGCTCCAGAGAAAGTGCTCTGGGTTCATG